AACAATAACATCTCACAGCAAACCCTTTTCGTTGTCTACAAAAATAACGTAAACCTGAGGTTAATTTCGTAAAATAACATCTCTTTCCCACTAATATTTCACAACCAACTAAACAAACATTCAGTAAAATTAACCATAAATTCTCGGGAAAATTTTACCTTACCAAACACCTTTTACTAATATTTCGGAAAACATATATTTCTCACTATATTCCGGTAATAATTATTTCTCGGATTTAAAAAAATTTCTCCTCTACCAAACGTCCCTTTAGTCTTATGCTGAAAGGCCGCCTATAACATCCCTCACAAACAATGAACATGACTATATATCAACTCCGGTAAAAGATATATCATTTACGTACTTCTATAATTTTAACAGAGGTTGAAAGGGTAAAGAATCAATTCACTCAAAAGCTTAAGCTGTTAGGTGAGGATCTTGTTAGTAGTTTATATTATACTTTAACATGCCCCTCACAAGAGAGGTGGATGATGTATCAGGCCTAGCCTACCTATGCTAAGAATTTCCACACACAAAATTGGGGGCGCTGAGAATCGAATCTGGGACACTAAGACTCTAATACCATGTAAAGAACCAATTCACTCAAAAGTAGGGGTGTGCAAAATACCCATAGAACCTTAACCTCATTGAGAACTAAACCGAATTGAATCCAAAATAACCAGTTTTTTAAACCAGTTTATAAACCAGAATCGTTTTTAATTTTTTAAAATAATCCAGTTTGAACTGATTCCTTAATTTATTTGTAACCAGTTCAACCTGAACCGAACCATTTAATTTTTTTCATATTTTTCTACTCAACTTCTCATCTTCTCTCTCTCTCTCATAGAAAATTTTCTCTCTCCGTTTTCTCTCTCTAGAAACCACAAGATGGGTTTTGCTGCATTATAAGTGTTTTTGATCTTTGGGCTATTGGCCACATCATGCATAGCACAAGCAACCGGTGCTGCACTCAACCAATATCAACCCCACCACCATCGCCCAAATCAGCTCTGTCACCGACAAAAAAAACCCCAGTCTCCAGCGCCATGACCGTCGCATAAAACACCAACACTGGTAGTGATGAGGCTGCACTTGTGGAGCATTTAAGGCAGAATCCAATGTTTCGAGTAGGCCTTGGCTATTTGATTCCTTTCCAGCTTAATATCGAGCAAGCATTAGGCTTCTCCTTATTGCAAGCTTTCCCTTTTGCTGGTTTTCAAGGATTTGGACAATTGGACTAGCATTACGAACACTTTGCATTTAAGAAGATGAGAACGCCAAGACTTGTATGTTTTACACTATTCATGATGCTTTGAGAAACAATGAATTTGAATAAGCAAACCGGTTCGATTCTTTGAACTCTTTTTTTTAAATCCAACTGGTTCGGAAATGGTTCAGAAATGGTTTTAGGTTGGAACTGGTTTGAAACTAGTTCATAATTGGTTCGGGTCGAACCGGTTTTGAACCAAACCGAACCAATTATATTTTAAAAAAAATAGGTCGGTTCAAAGAACCAAACTGGTTAAAACAGTTCAATTCGATTCTTCCAAAAAACTGGTTCGGGTCGACCCATGCCCACCTCTACTCAAAAGCTTAAGTTGTTAGGTGAGGGTCATTTTAATGATTTATATTATACTCCAACATAAATAGAAAAAAAACATAAATAACGCAATTATCAAAGAACCTGTAATTTAATTGACACCAACTCAAGCTTAGGTGCAATGGTAAGTTTGGTTGTCTGCCACGCTATCCTTTCCCTCCGATACCCACGTGCTTGCACCTTTTTTTTTTTGAAAATTCTCAGCATAACCAGAAAACTAACTGGCTACACTAGTTGATTCAATATTCAAATTGCCTTTACAAAGCAAAATATTGCACCCCACGGGAGGGGTCAGAAACAACTGAACAAATCCTTCAATAGGAGTATCTATATGGGCTAACCAGTCAGCCACTGTGTTTCCCTCTCTTAATGTATGCTTCATCTGCACGTTCCAGTTCCTCTCAAGAAGCTCCCGAATTTTTCTTCCAATCTGGGCTAAAGGGTGGCTTATCTGTTCCTCCTCATCTATAAATTTTAGGACTTGAGTGGAGTCCTCTTCAATGAGGAGGTTGCGGCAGCCTTGATCCCAAGCCACATTGAGTCCCACAAGGAAGCTCCAAAGTTCTTCTCTAAAAGCATTTCCATATCCCAGATTTTTAGTAAAGCCCATTATCCAGTCCCCTTCACAGTCTCTTAGAACACCACCACACCCAGACTTTAAGTTATCCTTTGAGCATGCTCCATCAACATTCATCTTCATCCAGCCCATAAGAAGAGGAGTCCAAGTAGCATCTAGGGGAGGGCCTGAAATTTGCTATAGGCCACCTTTCACCAGAATCTCTTTTGCAGATATATAGTTTTCATAATACCCGAGGATAATTCTGATGCTTCCCTGGGTATTCTGGTTCACCCTATTCAAAACAAAGTCATTTATTTTCCTACCATAGGCACCAGCAAGTCACACCAAATAGAAGACTCCAGTTTCTGTTTCCAACACCAGTCCCCTTCGATTGCAGGTTTCCATTAAACCAATCTTTATGCGCATTCGAGAAGAAAGAAGGCCATTTACTTGGATAAATCATGGCTTTCCACACAACTTGGGACCAAACACAGTCTCTAATAGCATGCAAGGAGTTTTCTTGCTGAGATTGGCAACAGGGGCAAATATTCGAATCAGTGAAATGTCTAACATAGCGTTGCTGGTTTGTCATTAGCTTGTCACCAGCAAGAAGCCAGAGGAAGGTCTTGATTCTTCTTGGCCCATCCCATTTCCATATGGATTTCCAGTTTATCCTTGACTGATCATCCTAAAAAAATTTAATCGCTTTATAAGCCGATTTCACAGAAAAACACCCATCACTGGTTTCTGTCCAGCAAATCATGTCTTCACCATTCTCTTGATTTGCAAGAAGGATGCTAGCAATAACCTTTTTAATATCAGGGGTAATAATGGTTGAGATTCTTTGCCAATCCCACGAGCCTTGAGGAGTGACATAATCCGCAACACTATGCTGAAGCACTTGATCAGTGATTTCTTCTAGAGCCAAGTCCTTGATTCACCCAGTATTCGGTAACCAATTATCCAGCCAGAATATGGTGTTTTCTCCATTACCGACTAGGACTTTGGAATATTTTTTGACATTAGGCCAAACTTTTATCATTCCTTTCCACAGGTTTGAACCATTTGTAGATGCTTTCAGATCAGGAATTGGATCATTACTGATGTTGTATTTATTTCTCAGGACTTGCACCCAGAGGGTGTCCTTTTTAGTGAGAATGCCAAATCCAACTTTCATTAAGAAGGCTTTATTTGATTCTCTCATAAACTTTATTCCCAAACCTCCCATGTCCTTTGGATAGCACACTTTCGACCAGTTGACATTATGAGGGCTGGTACCTTTTCCACTGGAGTTCCAAATAAAACCTCGGGAAGTCTTTTCTATTTCATCACAAGTGCCCAGAGGGATGAGGTTAGTTTGCATAGCATACATAGGAAGGGTCGATAAGACTGACTGAGCAAGAACATTCCTACCCGCGAAGGACAAGGATCTTTTCTTCCAAGCTCCCATCGTCCTGTTCACTCTCTCCATAATATGGTTGAAACTTCCTTTGGTTACCCTTTTGTGGTGGAGATTAACTCATAGGTATTTTCCCAGGTCACCAGTTAGGCCAAACCCCAACTCATTGCTTAATTCCATGGCATGATTATGGTTGACATTCCTATAAAAAAGCACACGAGTTTTTTCAGAACTGACCTTTTGGCCTGAGGAATCATAGAAGCATTTCAAAATGTGTTTCATGACTTGAGTTTGTTTCATTGAGGCTTCCCCAAACAGAAGAAGATCATCTGCAAAGAATAAGTGGGATAAAGGAGGGCCATTTTTCCTTAGTCTCACTGGTTTCCAATCTCCTTGGTCGACAGCCAGGTTGATAAGATGAGCCAAACGCTCAATACACAGAACAAACAGATAGGGTGATATAGGATCACCTTGTCTCACCCCTCTTGTTGGCTTGAATTCCCTAGTAGTGGCTCCATTCCACAACACATTCATGGAAGCTGTTGATACACAGTTCATGATTAATTTTATGAGATCATCCAGAAGCTTAATTTCCTTCAGGGTATCCTCGATGAAATCCCAGCCAAGTTTGTCATAAGCTTTTTCCAAATCTACCTTGATAGCCATCCAACCTTGCACCTTCAATGTTACGAAACAATAGTTTGGTTTCTCTGTAGGTCAACAATACCGAAGCTATTAGACATAGCAAACATCCAGGCCCAACTCAAAAATAAATAACCGAAGCAGAAAGCATAGCAAACCAAACTAGTAATGAGACAGGCCCAACACACCCCATTCTAATCCTATACCTTTTAGAGAAGCACTCCTTTTGGTAGGAAAATATTTTCAATCCTCCTGTCGCAACGATTATATTATGGGGAATATTACTCTCATATTATATGAGAGTAGTTCTCTCATGCTATAGGGAAAATCCATGTAAGGTCCACCTTTAAAAAGCAAAAAAAAAAAGAGAGAAAGTGATTTTCAAAGTGAGAGAACATAATATAACTATCTCATATAAAATGAAAGTAGTATTTCCCTTATATTATTTGGTATATCCATCCAATAGGAATAAAACACTAGCGCTGCATGTTGTCATGCCAGCACTAAGGAGAGCAAAACAAAAAAAAATCAACTGTCGTCGAATTCCCTATTGGCGTATCACGAGGCACTGCCAACAGTTCTCGGGAAAACCTTGTTATCTTCTAATGAAGACTTAATTATAAACCACTAACTGGAACAACCATGTAAACGTCGAGTGCACTAAAATTGTATCAACATGAGGTCTGAAAATTTGCCAGCTGAGTAAAACCTAAAAAAAAAAAAAAAAATTGTTGCTCCAATGATATGACATCCTTTTTATTTAGATTGGTTGTAGATTAAATAAAATTCAACTTATATTAGGCATCAAACTATTTATCTATTTAAGTACATAATTCAGGTCATCAATGACTCATTACTTTTGACAGTTCAAAGGAGCCAACTAGCTCCATAGCTTAAAACTAAAATTGGATATTGGATTACAATTAATAAAGTGCACTAAAAACACAATCATGTGTCAGCCCACAAGACAACCATACAATATTTTTAACATGGTTTACAATTGCATTTAGATGCTCCACATAAATATAATCTGACTGTCAATTTTTGGATAGGGATGCTTCAAGCTTTTCTTTCAACTGCATAGCAGCAGCCTCCCCACCCTGTGTTCTTATGGAGAATGTATGAATTATCTTATCCTCTGCTGTTGAAACACTGGACTCTTGCGCCACAATTTGATGCTCCCTTAACGTTTTAACAACTCCAGAAACAGGATGAATATCCAAGGGGTATCTTACTGTCACAACTGCATCATCCTCTCTATCCTGAAAATCAATATCTGACAATGGCAACTTTTGGTCCTTATTGTTAATCATGTTCTTTTCAGTTTCCAGTACCTTGATCTTCATCTGGAGATCAGTAATAAAGGTAATGGCATCACCAAGCAGAGATGCCTTGTCCATCTTAGATATATTAGGAACAACAGCTCTTAAGGCATAAAACCTTTGGTTAAGCTTCTCCCGTCTCTGTCTCTCTGCTTCAACATGATTCAGTGGTTCCTCTCTCCCATTGGCAGGCTTTCTACCTCTTTTTCTGGGCTTCCGCTCATCTGGATGAGTTGAGGATGAGTCTTCATTACCAAGTTCTAGACAAGAAGCCCTTGCTTGAGCATTAAAACTCCCAGCAATCATTTGATTTAATTGAGGGAACAATCTCGCTTCATTATTGTCACCTATACTCCCATTGGAAGAATTTCCATAAGCATGGTTAGCTCCTAGAGCTTGAACTTCATAAGAGTCTGAAGTGAAACCAGAATCATCTTCCACCTTTGGGGAGAAACTAATAGTTATGGACTGAGATTTTGTATCCCCTAGGCTTAGTTCACGCCCAAAAATCTTGGGAAACACCTTTCCCTGTCCCGAACTAGATTCTCCAAATGTTGTCCTAACCATCTCCACAACACCCTGCTCTTCAGGCATTGATTCCATTGAACCAAGCTCCACAACCCCGGCTTTTAGAGGTACAAATACAACTGTTTGAAGGCCAGCTAATTTCCCCAGAAATGACCTAGATTCTAATTGATTTAAACAAGTATCAGCATCAGAAGCCCAAATTGATTTACCAGACTTGAAAGAACTGCCAGGGCCACATGGCGAATCAAAACCAAATATATAAAACCTTGAGACTAAGTAAAACATATGCATATCCGAGACCCTACCCAACCTTGCATAATTAGCCTCTTTTGACACAGAGATAGCAAAGCAGGCATCAAGCTTCTTCAGCACCTTCTTTCTCGCCTCCTCCTCATCCTCCTTCCCAGCTCCGTCCCCTTTCGCATCCCCGCAATGCCCATCACCCCAAATCAAGGCAGAGCCACCAGATTTCAAGCCGGCAACCTGCCAAAACACAGCATAATTCCACTTGGAAACCTCAACAAGCTGGCACAACCGCTGGTGAAGACCCGGGTGAGCACCGTGTGGAGGAGCAACCACGCCGGAAAATACATTATTACTAACAGCAGAAATAAAGAAAGCAACAGCTTCTGGACCCAACACAGATTCAAACACACCCTTGTCTTCTTCGTTCACACAAAATTTCTCACCCACCATTGTACTTCCTCCCTCCTTCCACAATTAATATCTCATAAATCCAAAGATCAAATTTTTTTTCAAAATACAAATCCACAAATATCTCAACTGGGCCTGAATTTCGCCTAACGCATCAAAATCTCAAAAATAAAATCTCATAACTAACCTTAGAAGCAAACCCTTGAAAACATCCAACTCAAACCCACAATTCGTGAATTTCATAACATGGCTATTCCTAATTACAGATACTAGATGAACATCAGAAAGAATCTAACTTGGTGCTGAGCTCAAGCTTAGTGGGTCACAACTACAACGAAAATTGCTCAAGGAAGTGGAACATACAGATTCAGCACACACACACACACACACAAAAAAAGTGCAGAATTACCTTAAAAGATATTGAGATTCAGTGAAAAATATGAACGAAGCTTTAACAGACATGAGATTCATAAACCTAAGTACAACAAATACAACCTGACAAGAGTTTCAGTTTCAGATCTGAAATGTTAAGGGTTCCTTGTTCTTCTTCCTTTTTTCATTTTTTAGAAAAACAAAAAAAAAACAATATTTAATGTTCAATACGTGTCCTGGCATATTCTCTTTATTGCATATTTGGCCACACATAACTTCTAGGTAAACTTTTTTTTTTTTTAGTAAATAGGTAAACTTTTTAAGTTTTGATAAGGAAATTTTAAAAAGTATTCGTAATTTTTCATAATAAATTTCTTTATAAACATTCACTTAGTGTTGATTAACCTTTCTATAATATTTTCCTGAATAAATTCAGTTAATTACAAGATATATAATTTTTAGGAAAAAAGTATCTAATGTTACTTTAGATAATTTTGTCTAATGTTCATCAAAACGACGTCGTTTTGAATTTGAAAAATTAAAAAATTAGAATGATAAAGACTATTATAACCCTAAAATAAATTAAAATTACAAAAACATCATGATTTCCGCTCCAAAACGATGTCGTTTTGATGAACATTAGATAAAGTTATCTAAAGTAACTTTAGAAAACACAAACCCATAATTTTTAACGAATTTCTAACGTACTTCGTATTTTTTTTCCTTGTTTCACTTTCACGTGTGACGAGTACTCTTTCAAATAAAAAATGTTCCTAAAATAATTTCAGCGTCTTTTATTTTTTATTTTTTTGAAAATGAAAAAATTTAGTAGTAAAAATATTGGGATTAGCGTTTTAATAAAACTCATAACATAAAAATTATGGTAGTTAAAATTTCGATTTATCAATACGATTTTATATCTTTATGATTTTTTTATCAAAACGATTTTATCAATATTCCAAATGTTTTTATATTTTTATATTTATTTACGTTATGATTTTACATTTTATGATTTTTTATCTCCCTTTTTATTTTACGTAAAATTTCAATTTTAACTACTTGATAAAAATAAAATAAAATTTCCCATAAAGAAATAATTAATTATCAACGATATTTAAAAGAGAAAGAGTATATACGAAAATAGGCTGTTAACCAAGCCATTTTATACTGTAATAGACTTGGCCCAGCCCATTAAAGCAACTCCGCTATCCCCAGCTAAAATTGGAGGCCCACACTCTCACAGCTTAAAGTCCATCACCACCAAGCAATTAGCAAATTTTGAAAATAAAAACCATGTGGACCAAAAAAATAATACCAAAAAAATAAAAACCATCCCCAATATATGAATATATCAAGCAATGCGAAAAAAATAAAAAATCATAGTTGGAATTGTTTGGTTTTAAAAATTATCAACATAAATTATTTTAAGAAAATTTAAAATATTTTAATTTATTAAGAAAAAAACAGTATTCTAACTCTTTTGTTGACACTTCCTTTTGTTACCTAGGATTTATAAACACTAGCGATTTAATATTGTTAACATCAAAGCATTGTTATATATCATGACATGAATCAAGATTAATCTAAAATTAATTTTCCCAACTACCCGAGTCTAACAAACTCGTCTATACAAATCATTATGAGATCAACAAAAATAATAATTTTCTGAAATACTTCTCCCATAACTTTCAATTGTGTGTTTATACTATTCGGATCCTAGCTCTTAATTATATGATATATTTGTGTGTCAATAACCAAAGTCTTCCAACAAGAATTGCAACTCATTTAGCCACAGATAGAACAAGCAAGGGCCAAGAGAATGAGAAAGCAAAGGAAAGGAAATTTCTTTGAGTTAACTCCTTAATTGAGAGATCTGAGACGAGAGAGACACGAAAGTGAGGGTGTTGGGGAACCAAAATACATTAAATATTAATAGTATTAATTTTGGATAGGTTATCAACTCAATTGAGATATTGAGTTAACTTATCCCTGGTTCAAGGGGTGGATTATGGGTTGAATCAGTTGTTACGGCCATATTATTTAAGGGTAATACACTTGTTATGTAACAGGAAAACAAATGGTTTTTCTGCACAAACAGCAATTAAGAGAGAGGAACAATTATGAAGAGAGAGAAACAAAAATTAACGGGCCCCACATCAATTGTTGTATGTGCTGCAAATTTTTTTGTTTTCCAGTTACATAACAAAAATATTACCCATTATTAAAAGCTTGGGGTAAGAATGGGTTTCGTTCGAGTGCCCGAAAATAATATTCCAAAGCTTTCGTATGTTCTCCGTTACTTGTGTGGATAAGGCCTATGTTATAAAGTATATAACTTCGATCATAAGGGTAGTGTAACATCCTAAGAGCTGGCAAGGGCAGGGAGTGATCGACGGTACGAAAGGGCACGGGCAATGAGCGGCTCATGCCAAATCTTGCAGCTTGGGGGTTCATGAATGAATCGAATCAACACCCGACAGAGAGGGATTCCAGAGACTGTGCTGGTATGGGACGGTACAGTTAGGAATGGCTTATAAGAATTAATTGGTACTACCTATACTAACAAGATGCATCTACTTTTCGGTAGCCCAGATCGGAAGAACTTGTTGTAAATAATATTGATTTAGTTTTTATTTAGTTTTTATTTAGTCATTTATTGTTGTATTGGGCCAAGCCCATTAGGTTAAAAGTAGGTCAAATATTCTCTATAAATAGAGAATCCTTTGTACACATTATTTACAATTCTATAATATATTAGAATACCCTTTTTCAAGTTGGTATCAGAGCTCTCGATCTGAGGGCTTTGCTTCCGCACATATTATCTTCTTTTTTAACAAAACCCTAATTTCTTTGCCTCTTGCCGCCATCAACCACCACCGAAAAATTTTTCCGGGGACCTTTTGGACCAAGGGGACCATTGTTGACCTTATTTTTCCTCCGATCTATCATTCTACGAACTGTTCCTCCGCCACAAACGATCGAAACACCTCCGACTGCCTCCAATCAGATCTGTCTTCACTGTTTGGACCACTTTCCGGTGACTTTTCAACCGCGACCACCCACAGACAGGTGCGCGCTCACCGGACGACCACACCAGAAAAATCTCAGCCGGCGAAGCCCATCCACGCGCTCTCACGCACCGCCCCTTTCCCGGCGAGTGAATCCCACGCACAGCTCCTTTCTCCGGCGCGTGGAGGCGCGTGCGGCCGTGTTTTTGGACCGGACCACCACCATTCTTCTCGTCTTCTTGTCTTCTGTCTGGATCTGTAATTATTTTTCTGATCAGAGGTCATTTGATATTCTGTTTGGTTGATTTTATCGCTGGTTGTTAACTTTTTTTGTTAAAGAATGGCCGAGCATGATAGTTCTTCGATCTTATCTGGTAAGAGCACACGTTCTATATCTCTTCTTGCTTCTTGCACTGATTTTAAAACCTCGTGGATTTTGGATTCTGGTGCAACTGATCATATGGCTTGTCGTACTGAGTTGTTTTGTTCTTATCATCCTACTGTTGGTAGTCATACTATATCCGTAGCTAATGGATCCCATAAATCAGTTATTGGTTCTGGTAACATTTAAATTCAACCTTCCTTGTTTCTTAAAAATGTTCTTTATGTTCCTCAGCTTTCTACTAATCTTATCTCCACTCAAAAACTTACAACTGATTTGAATTGTTCTATCACATTTTTTCCTTCTCATTGTCTTATTCAGGATCTTACCACGAAGAAGACAATTGGAGTTGCTAATGAACAGGATGGGTTGTATCATCTCCTTCCAGACCATGCTAGCAAAAATCAGTTATTAATGACACGTCATCCTTCTACTGCTTCTACTGCAGAGTCTATGATTTGGCTCCATCACAAGCGTCTCGGGCATCCACTATTTAGTCTTTTGAAGTCTATGTTCCCCTCTCTGTTTCTCAATAAGTCGGTTGAGACCTTTCATTGTGATGTTTGTGAATTTGCAAAACACCATCGAGTGTCATTTCCTTCTAGCACTATTAAAAGCAGAGAACCTTTTTCTCTTATCCATTCTGATGTTTGGGGCCCTTCTAAAGTGCACAGTGTTTCAGGTGCAAGGTGGTTTGTTTCTTTTATTGACGATTGTACTCGGATAACATGGATATACTTGATGAAAGACAAGTCTGAAGTACCAGAGATATTTATTCGGTTTCATCACATGGTTGAGACTCAGTTTGGTAAGGGTATTAAAAGACTCAAATCTGATAATGGTACTGAGTACGTCAATCAACGCCTGTCACAATTCATTTCAGACAGAGGTATGATTCATGAGCTCACATGTGTTGATACCCCTCAACAAAACGGGGTTGCTGAAAGGAAAAATCGTCATCTTCTCTAAGTTGCTAGAGCACTACTTTTTCAGACATCTGTTCCTAGTTCTTATTGAGGAGAAGCAGTATTAGCTGCAACTTTTTTGATCAACCGTTTACCTTCACGGGTCCTTAACAATATCAGTCCTATTCATTCCATGACTTCCTTCTTTCCTTCTGTTCCCATATTGCAGAGCCCTCCACCAAGAGTGTTTGGATGTGTTGCCTTTGTCCATGTTCATAAACAACATCGGAGTAAGTTGGATCCTAGGGCTCTTAAGTGTGTCTTCCTTGGTTATAACCCTTATAAAAAAGGGTACAAGTGTTATCATCCACCAAGTCGGAAATTTTTTGTTTCTATGGATGTCACCTTTCAAGAATTTGAATCTTATTTCCTGGGTCCTCATCGTCAGGGGGAGAATAGTTCTTCAGAAGACTCGTCCCCTTCCTTTTTTGAGTCTGGATCAATCTTCTATCTTCCTAGTGTGTCTGCTCCTGGTGTGTCAGAACCTTCAAATACACCTGAGATACAACCCATACTGTCTCACCAGCAACCTCAATCGTCTGAACCACTGGTAAGTCCTGAATCTCCTATTTCTTCTGAGTCTCCTGAATCTCTTGTTTCTGATTCTAATATTATTTCCTCTCATGATTTGTCTATTTCTTCTGATATCTCTAATGACTTACCCATTGCTTCTACTTCTGATGACTTACCTATTGCTCTTAGAAAAGGAAAAAGATCTTGTCACAAGAAAACTTGTTCCTCTTGTCCCTCTTGTACTCAATACCCTATCTCCCACTTTGTTTCCTCTGCTAATCTTTCTGTGCAGCACAAAAGCTTTGTTTCAGC